CTGAAACATTTCTGAAATCCTCTAATGCCTTGGGAAGGGGGAGATTATGGAGGTCCTGTTAATACCAAGCCTGTGGCAATATCGGTGAAGTCAATAAATTAAAAATAAAAAACCCAAACCACTGACTTTTGGGGTCTGAAGTACTCATGCCATGTTGACCTGGTCCAAGTTACTTATTTTCAGTTCTTAAAAGACAATCAAATGTAAAAAACTGACATCCCCCTGGACTGCCCTTTTCCTTGACCCCATCCCTGGTCCATCATTCCTGAGTCCCAGCTGAAGGGTCAGGAGTGGGTAAAGGTGAGAGGCATCTGACGCCCACGTTGCTGAGTCATTATATTGTGTCTCAGGTTTCCATGTATCGAAAATGGTGCATCAGGATAGTATCCTTCCTTTTAGGATGATGATACCAACCTGAATTAAAGCCTCACTCTGGGACTTCAACACTTCCAAAAAAGGCCTCTGACAAGCTGTGTGAGTCAGGGTTCTCTGGAGGAACAGAAGCAAAGATGTGTAGATATATAGAAAGAGATTTATTTTAAGGAATTGGCTCACACAGTTATGGAGGCCAAAATCTGCAAGGTGAGCCGGCAAGCTGGAGAACCAGGAAGAGCCGTGCCACAGTTGAAATCCAAAGGCCATCTGCTGGCTGACTACCTTCATGCTTGAGGAATCATTCATTTGTTCTATTCAGATCTTCAACTGATTAGACAAGGCCCACCCACATTATGGAGCCCAACATGCATTCCTCAAAGTCCACTGATTTAAATGTAAATCTTATCTAAAGAAGAGTATCACAAAAAAACCAAAAACCAACCAAACAAACAAAAAAACCCCAACCGTCCAGAATAAGGTTTGGGGGCCAGCCAATGTGACATAACACTCTCACACAGTCCAACCAAGAATGACTACATCCATTAAAGTCAAGCCCGAGCACTTTTCTCTAAATGAGGCACTGAGTTCTGATGCAAGCCTACCGGCTCAGATCTGTAAACGAGTCCGGCTCTGAATCCTAACAACCTTTGTCATCTGGATTCGCACACCTGGGCAGACAAGAGAAGGAGGTAGAGTGAGGACTTGGCTACCGGCAGATTCCAGAAACAGTGAGAAGTGACAGCTCACAGCCTGACAGTGAGGAGGAGACCGAGGATCTTTAAAAAGTGGATGGAAGAACTATAAAAGCTCAGCAGCCTCGGGCCTTTGAGTGTTAAGGCAAATTGTTCTCCTTACTTCATGGAGGGAGGCTATCATGGAGCAGTTTTTAAAGGGTGGGAAGGAGGCATGGTAGTCACTAGCTGATATGCTCTCCCTCCCCTCACTCCCACCCCTCACTTGTGCCTGGGGAATCCAGTGCATTCTCTGCGGGCGCTTAAAAACAATTAGCCACTCCACCTTTATCAGGGCAATAGGTGTGTCCAGATCTCATCTGAAGAGAATTATGCTCTTAATCCTCAGGCAGGTCGTTTGAGTGACATTGATACGACTCCTTCTCCATAAGGATGGCCCTTATGCCTTCAGTCATTCTAAACCTGCCATTTATCTTCTGACTTTCAGAAAGGAATACATATTCCCACTGGCACTGCAGCGATGCAAAGGGATGTTTCCTGGGGGCTTCTGAGAAAAAGAGATTTTTCTTCTCCCTACATGTGTCTCATGAGAGTGTGGTCTGGAACTTTTGTAACCATTATGCTCCTGTGAAGGGGGAGCCTGGAACTTTCAAGGGATGGGAAAGAGTTCTCTGCATGGCGACTGCAGATAAAGCCAAAATTACAAAAGGCAGAGAGGGTAAGTGGAGAGAAGTTGGATTCTTATAACAGCATATAAGCAGCTTGATCAAACCTCATCTGAAGCTGCTGTAGGGTTTTTATTTATATATGCCAGTGGATTTCTTTTCTGATTAAGCCAATTTGAACTGATTTTTGGTTATTTGCTAAGACATGGTACCTGACTGATATAAGAGGTGACTCCTGAATGCCCAGTCCTGAAAGAGAATTTTGACTAGAACAGAATGAGTTGAAGGGTAGTCTAACAACAACAATAACAATATCAACTCAGAAAAAGAATGTATGAAGCACCTAGTATGTTCCAGAAACTGCCCAGAGCTGTATTGACTTCTCACAAATGCATATGAGGTTGGTGCTATGATTATAATTTTAAATGCAGATGCTGAAGCTCAGAAGCATTACATGACTTGCTCAAGGTTGCAGAGCCAGGAAGTGGACTGGACAGGTCCAGCAGAATAAGTCCTGCTGCTCAGGAATATGCTCTTCTCTTGCTGCCTCTCTGCCTCCTCTCACCTGCCAGGCAGACAGCTGAACAGAGGAGGGTATGAGCTGGAGGAGCATGGTCAGAAGAGAGTAGAACCCCTGGCCTGTATAGTGATTAGGAGAGGACTGGACAGGCAATGAGCTAAGAGGCTATGGGACTCAACGGTGGGCAGGTTAGTTGTAACCATTATTATTTTTTTTAATGTTTATTTATTTTTGAGAGACAGAGCACGAGCAGGGGAGGAGCAGTGAGAGAGGAAGACACGGAATCAAAAGCAGCTTCCAGGCTCCACGCTGTCAGCACAGGGCCCGACGCGGGGCTCAAACTCACAGACCATGAGATCATGACTTGAGCTGAAGTCAGATGCTTAACCCACTGAGCCACCCGGGTGACCCTAGTTGTAGCCATCACCCTTATCTGGCGTGACGATGTAGTTCTGAGGTCACTCATCACTACCAACAGAGCTACGCCCAACCACTGCCCAGGTTCAAGTCAGGGTTATGTTGCCAAGATATTTATAATCCATTTATTCACGCAGCCGCCATCAGAGTGTCTATGCCTCAAGAACACCCCCGCTTGGTGAGCTAGACTGTCAAGGTAGCCACCCTGGTGGACCTTAACAGTCGAGCTGGGGAAGACGTCAGGGAACAAATAATTACACCGGAAACAAATCCTTACATTGGCAAATAATGACCACGCGTGGTGATAGCACCCACTATGACAAGGGCTAGGAGAGAAAATAACGGAGGGTACTAAAAAGAACGAGGGAGACCTGGTTTAGATAGGAAGAGTGTGTGCATGCATGGGGGTAAGGCTTCTTCTTGGAAGTGTGATTTAAGCAGAGGCCTTGATGTTTAAATGGATGCATGCCTTCTAAGCAGAAGGAATTGCATGTGCCAAAAAAGGAACTGGTTTTGCATGTGTAAGGAACTGAAACAGGACCCTTAGTGGATGAGGGGTAGGCAAGGGCTGGAACTTGCGGGGCCTTGAGGCCACCATTGGGGCTTTTAATTTGCATCTAGTTATAACCTCTTGCATGCTTCCTGAAAATCCTCCACTGGGCCAGACTGTATGCAGGCAGTAGGGACATGGCGATTAATAATAATTATGATAATGCCTAACATACATCAAGTACTTACCATTTGCTATTAAAACTTTTGTCCGAGATTGGAGGAAAAGTTGTCCCGGTCAGTTTTGTGACCCAAAGAGTGCTTCCGATGTAGGCAGCTAGTTAAGAGAATTTCCCAAACTTGGCAGATGAAAAGAACTCCTTAGGTGATATGATATGTTGGGGTCCAGGAGTGAACAGTCAATAAAGAATTCTTGAGACAAAGCTTTGGTGCAAAAAAGGAGGTTTTATTAAAGCACCGGGACAGGACTCATGGGCAGAAAGAGCTGCACTGGGGTTGTGAGGGGTGACTGTTAATATACTTTCAAGTTGGGAGGGGTTTAGGATAGCCTAAGTCTCTAAGTAATTTGGCAGAAAGGCTTCCAGGACCTTGAGTGGCTAGCTGCTGTTAAGATAAGGTCATTTACTACTGTCTAGTGAAACCTTAGTCATGAGACCCTTCACATGTATGTCAGTGGGTCATATGCTTGGAGGATGATTGCTAACATATATCTTGCAGGGATGGGGGGAGGTCGGGTAGAGATAAAGGAAGGTCACTCTGCCTGTCCCAAGGACTTGTCAATGGGCTGCAAGTTGCAAGGAGATTTAAGTTTTTTCTCCATTTCTTTTGCCTTTGTTCTCCACACTGTCAGGGAGTTAAAAACCCTTCTCTTAGAGATTTGGATTCAGTAGGTGGAAATTCTCCTGGAATGTGTTTATAGCAACTTCCACAAACACTGGCTTAAAGTATTTAGTGCAAAGGCCTTTTCTTTTTGTTTTGTTTTTGCTGGACGGATCCTATTTTGAATCGGAGGCAGCTCCACTACTTTTCCAGACGTGTCACCTTGTGCAAACTGTTCCACCTCTCTGAGCATCAGTTTTCCCTTCCAACAAACGCAGTTAAAGGCAGCACCATCTCCTGGCGCTGATGCTCAGATTAAATGAGCGATGATGACATTCACAAGATGATAGTGAAGACGACATGGAACCTGGAATGTCTCATGATCAGGTGTCCTAGATCACAGTTGGTGGCTTGAAGGACTGTCCTGAGACGGGGCCCACTTCCTCCGGCCTCAAGCTAGGGTTGCGGGATAAAATACAGGAGCACAGATAAACTGGAATTTCAGATAAACCACGAAAAAATGTGAGTGTAAGTATGTCCCAAATATTGCATGGGATATACTTATACTGAACAATCATTCGTTGTTTGCCTGAAATCCCAACTAACTGGACGCCCTGTACTTTTATTTGCGAAACCGAGCAATGTTTACAGAAAGGAAGGACCCCCTTCCCCTCTCCCACTCCCCGCCCCACTGCCTCCTGCCAGAACCCACACCCTCTCTGCGCATGCACTCAGGCCTCTGTCTAGGCGCCTCCACTCGCCAGGCGCCCCAGTCGATCCCAGAGGGGCCGCTCACGCTTCCGCCCCACTCAGGCAGCACTAGCGGCGCCCCGAGCGGCAGAGCCCCGAGCGGCGGAGGCCCGCGCAACCGCCCTCCCGCCCCGCACTGAGCAAAGGGCGCCGCCCCCAGCGGGGCACCACGGGCCCGGTGGTTGGGCTGTGCCACGCCGTGCCGCTGCCTCCCACCCTGGGTACTCAGGGGAAGCCGGAAACTCGCTCGCCATGTCGGCTGCGGAGGCGGGGGGTGTTTTCCGCAGAGCCCGGGGCAGGACCCTGGACGCGTTTCCCTCAGGTACTGCCGGCCTTTCGCCCGGGGAGGGGATGACTTCAAGGCTGCGGAACCTTGCGTCTGGGGAACCGTCGGTTTGGGCGCGCGCGCCTCCAGCCGGACCGCTTCGGGGGCTGCACCCGGAGGCTGGGGACCGCAGTAGCGGCCTTACCGCCCGCCCTCGGGGCTTCGAGGGGCGCTGTTGAGAGACGGGGTGTCCGGGCGCTGGGGCCTCCGCTGGCCTTGACCTGACTTCCCTGAGAGAGGAGGAGATGGAGTAAAGCGGCAAAGCGTGCTTCACAGGAGCGGGGGGTTTCAGTCCTGCCTCGCCCACGTTACTCCGCAAGCCTTGGCCTCAGTTTCCCCACCTGCAAGCCGGGAATCGTAACCGTGATCTTACGTGTGGCGCTCATAGGCGCCCGGTGCATGTCAGATGCGGTTATTTTCATTGTGGTGGTTCGCCACGGTGCGTTTTATACTCCACAATCCCGGTTTCTTCCTGCAATAGGCGTCATCCACCAGATTGTGTATAGCGCCCGCCCATCGCAAAGCGGGAGTGCAGCCCGGCGACGTGTGAAATTAAGTGCTTGGAGTTTGGATTTAGATAATCACTCTCGTTGTAAAAATGGGTTACGAAAAACAAACTTTATGGGGAAGCGTTAACAAGTTGAAAGTATTTTTATAACTCAGTGCCCGACACAGCCTAGGTGCTAAGTGAATGTGAGCCCTGGAGGCATAAGGCGAGAGGGAGGTTTGTTCCTGGTGTCTTGGTCCTCTCTGGCTTTTTGCGGCCCCGCAGTCAAGAATCCTTCCCACAGCGCTCACCAGTTTTGTAACCCCGGGGACGTCACCCCAGATGCCCTGCATGATCTAGCCTGTGCTCCCCTTCCTTGATTCGTGCTTGTCGTGTGGCCTTCTGCCCGCTTCTCCTGCCTCACTCGTTTTCTTGAAGACCTTTCTGTCTTCCGCTCCCATAGCTGATGAATAGCCAGGCCGCTGGACCTGGTCTGTTCTCAGCCTTCAGACCCTGTTTTAAAATTCAGTCACTTCCTCTAGTCAGATTTTTTCCCCTGGCCACCCTACGTAAAGTAGGTTCCTGCTGAAGTTCTCTGCCCTAAGACCTTGTTCTTTTCTTTCTTCGCAGCTCTTGGTGGGGAGTGGCAAGGTTCTGGAAGGGTGTGTGGGGCCAGAGATAGAAGTTTGGTGGATTTGGGGAAAATACAATCTGCTGTAGTGCCCATTCTCTAAATATTTTAATACACCTTTTTTCGCCCAGCTTGAGGGTTTTGAGATTTATCTGTTTTCATAGAAGTAGCTCCAGTTCACTCGTTTTCTTCCTGGGCAGTATTCCAATGGATATATTGCCTATTTTATCCATTCTGCTGCTGGGCGTTTGTGGAGTGTCTTTCCTGAGGCAGGGGTGTGCTCTCTGCAGAAGGAGGAGTACACAAAGGGAGGAAAAGACCGCTGTGTATCACGGGTAGAACAAGTGTGAAAGTTTGTGGCTTGGCCCGGTGGGGAAAGGGAAGGATGGGGGTGGGGATGCGGTGGTCCGTGAGGCTGGAGGATGGGTGGCGAGTAATTGAGGAGTTTTGTCTTTACCTAACAGCGCGTCAACGAGGTTTCAGCTGCATGTGTGAGGAAACAAGGACACGTGATCAGATTTCCATTTTGGAAAGAAGGGGCTGAAAAGAATTTGTGTTTGTGAGGAACTTGGGGCGCAATCTGATTGCACGCTGGAGCCCAAGAACTCGTCTCGCAGCAGCATTTCCGTAGCACCACGTTGTTCACTTTGGATTTATTGTGGTAGCTGGAGGTGTGTGTGATGGGGGTGGATTTCTGCCGGAGATTTTGGGGATACTCAGATGTCAAAGCTGACTGACCCACTGGTGTTGCCATAGGGGGTACGGAGAACAAGAGAGTCGTTGAGCTGGACAAGAATGGGGAGGTGAGGAGAGAAAGCCTTAGAAGAGAAAATGACGGGATACTTACCTTGCTGAGGTAGGAAGAAGGAGAATGACCCTGGGCTTCCCTTAGCACCAGTGGGCATGCTCAGTGTGGGCCATTTAGCGCAGGGCTTTCAGAGGCCTGGCCTTGGAGGGTTGGGCTTGGAACGCCCAGTCTTGTGGGTTCACTTCACTGGGTGCTGGACCCCTGGTCCACCCCCAAGTTGCCTCCATTGCTTTTACCGAGTTTTCCTCGAGTCCTCATTTCCTGCTAGCATTGCTAGCAACTTCGAGAGATGCTTTTCATGGGTCCCGTGCCATTCCAGACTCTGTGGGAATATAGAGCCTCAAACTGGTAGGGTTGCTCCAGAGGCAGGCTGGGAGGAGAAAGGGAAGGAACTGGCTTTTCCCGGTCTCTTGCCAAAATACACCCTCCCTGTGAAAGAAGTTTGGTTAACTCGAGCCACGCTGCCTGAAATCGCAGCCCTGATCAGCCTCATACTCGCTCCTCGAAGTCCCCTCCAGCATTAGCTAAACAGTTTATTTCTCTAGTGGAACCTGGCAGGTAAGTGAAAGAGTGCCGGCTGAGTCCATTCAGGCTGTCATAACAAAGCCCGTAGACTAGGCGGCTGGTCAGCAACAGACACTTGCTCCCCACGGTTCTGGAGGCTGGAAGTGCAGAGATCAGAATCCGAGTGTGGGGGCCAACCACCCAGTTCCTAGACCATCTTCTTGTGCCCTCACATGGTGGGAGTGGGAAAGGAGCACTCCGGGGTCTCTTTCAGAAGGCATTCATCTCATCGCGGTGACCTCCTGGCTCCCTAAGGTGACCTGTGGCTCCCCACCTCCGCGTATCGTCACATTGGGGTTTAGGATTCAAGATAAGAATCAGGGGGAACCACAGACGAACCACAGACGAACATGACGTCTGTGGTAAGCGCCTTAAGACCATTTCCCCCCTGGTGGTTTCTGTGAGTGGCAGCATTCGTGTGCACTTCTTCCAGTGTTGTCTGTGAAGCCTGGCTTCAGTCATCCAGTCCCTGTTAACGTGATCTGCTAGGCTCCGTCGACAGATGTTTGTAAAAAGGAAATTGTACATGTCTCGTTGCAGAAGGTTCACATTCCTCAGGCATGTTCACGTATTCATTTTAATTAGGCAAATTGATAATTATATTTCCTTGACACATCCTAATTAAGACTACTATCTCCTAGCAAATAATTGTTTTTCTGAGAAATTTACGACATCTGTGTTGAAAAAAATTCTAAAAGTGAGAACTGTCAAGATAAAATGGGTTTACAAATTACCTATATCTATTTGTTTTCAGGTCCTAAAGTGTTTTTTCTTTTTTTCCCCAGTTCATTTTACCACCACAATATGTTCCCTCTTAGAGAATAGGGCTGTTTGGTGGTTTTCTTAGAAAGATCATGTCCCTACATATTTTACACTTGTAGCTGTTTCAGAGGAGCCGACTGTATTCACTAATCCTGAATATTTCTCGGTGTCTTTCTCACGGGGCAGAAAATAAATGGAATCTCCCAAAAAATAACGTGCCCATGCCTTGTAGATCTCACCTAAGAACTCCTCTCTGGACAACATGTTTATCCAGGTCTCAACGGGGCTGAAAATGTTGTGGTTTGAAAAATTCTAACATCAATGAAGAACCTGAAATAAATGCTTTTAACGATGCTGTACAGTTAGGCCAAACCAGTTATCTCTTATTTGAAAAGGACTCCTGTGAGTAAAAGAATTTTGATTATCCCCTCCTCGATATTATCATCAGTGAAAATTAGTTTATAAAATGTTCACACCATAACACTTCCAAGAGATAAATGAACTTTTATTTTTGAGTGCCTTCCTATTTTTTGTAATAACTTTATTGAGGTACCATAACATTCACTCATTTAAGTTCACAGTTCAGCGGTTTTTAATAAATCTGTAGAGTGGTATGGTGTCAGGAGTTTAGTATCTCCCCCCAAAAAACTTTTTGCCCGTTTGCAGTCTTTTCCTGTTTCCACTTGGTGCACCGGAAACTAATTTACCTCCATCGCTTTGCCTTTTCTGGACATTTCATATAAATGGCATCATAAAATCTGTGGTCTTTTCTGACTGGCTTCTTTCCCTTAGCATAATTTTTTCAAGAGTATCAGTACTTTGTTCTTTTTTACTGAATGGTATTCCGTTGTATGGAGAAACCACATCACGTTTATCCATTCACCCATTGATGAGCATTTGGACACTGACTGACATTCCCCAGTTTGGCCGCTGGCTGTTATAAATACAGCTGATATGAACACCACATACAAATCTTTGTATGGACATAGATTTCATTTCTCTTGGGTAGATACTGAAGATTGGAATTGCTGGGTCATATAAGTAACTACGTTTGACATTTTGAGGAACTTCCAAACTGTTTTACAAAGCACCTGCACCATTTTGCATTGCCACTGCTAAGGTATATGGGTTCATATTCTCCATATCCTTGCCAACACTTGTCATCATCTGTGTTTTTGATTGTAACCAACCATATGGGTATGAATTGGTATTTCGTTGTGATGTTGGTTTGCATTTTCCTAATGGCTAATGATGCTGAACATTTCACATGCTGGCTGGCCACAGTCTTTCTTTGAAGAAATATCTTTTCAGATCCTTTGCCCTATTTCCCACACCCCCCATCCCGCCCTTTGGCCCAGTTTTAATTGGGTTGTGTTTTTATTGAGTTGTAAGTGTTCTTTATATATACTGAATACAGATCCCTTACCCAGTCCATGATTTGCAAATATTTTCTCCCATTCTGTGGATTCTCCTTTCACTTGCTTTATGATATCCTGTGCAGCACCAGAATTTTTAATTTTGATGAAGTCCAAATTATCAACTCTTTTGTTATCACTTGTGTTTTTGATGTCCTAAGAAACCTTTGCCTAACCCCAAATCATGAAGATTTACTTCTGTGTTTTCTCTAAGAGTATTCTAGTTAAAGCTTGTACATTGATGTCTGGGTTCATACTGAGTTAATTTTTATGTATGGTGTGGGGAAGTGTCTAATTATTAGACAATTTCCTTTTATTTTTTTCTTACTA